CACATAAATTTTAGATAAAAATTTAATATGTTATTTAAATGATAATTAAATTTTTTTAATCAAATAAAAATAGTCAACAAAAATTACATATAAGAAAAAAATTAATTATTATTTATAAAAATTATTAAAATTTTATCTAAAATTTATATATAAAAAATCAAAAAATTAAATTAAAACTATTAAAAATAAACCAAATTAAATAACTTTAACTAAATGTTGGGTTGGGTGACATAACCACCCCGGCAAGTTGCCCTCGGTAACGTTGCAAGCAAACAATATACTCTTTTGATGATCATCATATATACTCTTTTGATTAATCTAATGTGAAAAATATGGCGTAATATACTCTGTTTCATTAATTTAATGTGAAACATTTTTCCACTGTTCGGAATCAAACCCAAGTCTCTCGGTACACGTGGCAAACTGCTGATTGGATCCGGTTTGGATTGGGTTTATTACAAGTTTTATGAGTTTTTTTTTTTTTTTTTTACAAGAATAATAGTTAGTTGTTAGGTTAGAAAATGTTAATAATTGAAAATTCGATTCTTAGAACAAGTAATCTCTCACATCTTTCATTGAAGCGTACAACCCATCGAGCTGCATGGTGGAATTCAAGTTTTATGAGTTTGATCACATATGGATTGCGGGTTAACAAGTATTAACCTTAACTTGACTTTAACATATCACAAGTTGATTGATAGGTTAAATTTTTTAGTTTTTTATATAATTAGTAATATTTTTAATATTAATTTATTAAAATTAAATTATAATAATTTCGATATGATTATTTTTTAATAATTTTGCTTTTATTTATTTGATTAGTTTAAGTAAAATGATTTTTTAAAAATATTTTGAATAATTTATTTATTTAATTTTTTGTTTTCTTTTATATATATAATCACATATGGTATACAATATTTTATTTATAAATTTTAAATAAATATGTTAACTTCATTTAAAAAAGTTTTATAAATCGTAATAATCATTATCATATTAAAATTTTTTTATTATATTTGTTAATTATTTTATTTAAAAAAATTATCTTATAAAAATATATTTTTTAAAATTTTAAAATCAAACGGATCAACCCATAAATTCATGAGTTGATTCATGTTTGACCCATAGCACGTTCAGGTGAATGGATCACGAGTCCAATACTATTTGATCCAAATTCGTTTTTTAAGGGTAAAGTTAACAGGTCAGGTATGATTTTATCTCCTCTACTCCTGGGTGAAAGCCGAACATCCTAACTGCCGGAAGACAATGGAACCATGTTCAGCCTGTGAGAGAGAGAAAAAATTAATAATACTAATGTAGTAATTTCCTTAAATTGAATTGCTGGTGGATAAACGTCAAATCATCAAAAAGTCCAGGTTTGTTCCACATCAAAGTCAGAGACTCAGACGAGGAAAAGGAATGGTTTATGTATTCTCCTGCATGTAGCGTTCCTTTGTTGTTAGGCAATATCAGACCCTCAAGACATGCAAACCTAAAAAGACAAGTCAAAGAAGCAAATGAATTGTATGGACGCAACACTGTTTTGTGGCTGCTTCATGTATCATCCAGTCATTTATGAAATAAATAAATGGAGTTGAAAAATGAAAAAAGAAAGAGAGATAGAACTGGCACATGGTTTCTGATTTTCCAAACCATAGAAACAGAGGTTGCAGTCTCTTTCTTGTTTTATTGGGGGGTTGGAAACACAGTAACACTTGGGACCCATGAGGCAGGACACTTTACTTTCTTCTTTCCTCATTTCTTCTCTTTTGTATGATTTTCTTGAGCTGGTATTCTAGGAATAGAAAATGGAGAAATAGCAAGAAAGCAATTGAGGCAGATTTGATAAGATAATCAAAATCTGAAACAAGAATCATTGATGTCTCATTACTATCATTACTAGCTACAATAGCATCACCTTGGTATCATTTCACTTTAGATAAACTCAACTTCTTCCATAATAATTTTAGTCTCCACTTTCCTAGCAGACAAACAGGCTCCAATTACTTTCCAGGAAAATGGCCTACTTGGGAATCCACTACGTTCCTTCCATTCATTCTTAGTCCAACAGAACATCATCTTGCTTATGCAGATGGAATGCCCCATGGCCCCCACCACACAAAACCATGACAAAAACACTCACAATTACACGATGGAAATATTCTGCTTACACGGTTTAGTTTCATGAGGACTTGATTCAACAAAAACCTAAATCAAAAGAAGACTCTGCTAATGCAGTCAAACTTTTCCAATTACTTTATTATCCAAATGGGATTTTAATGCTCCAGAAGATTCCATGAACATAGCTTTCTGGGTGGAGGCATCATAACGTAACATCAACTCGGCTATGCTTGCTGATGTTCATTCGCAATAAGAAAGAATCTAATAGAGCTAAGCTATCGTTTCGCCTCCAGAAAGATGAAATTCCAATACCTAGTGATACAAGGTCCAGTCTTGACCAATTGGTTTGATTTCCAGAAAGTTCTTTAGGAATTAAAGATGAGATGCCTTGCTTGTATGATATGATGAAGTAACTCAACATTGATATACTGTAAGGGTGTAAAGACAATCTAGCTTTATAGATTCTTCTTAGGTTCCATCTAACTGATGGTGTATTGTTAATCCCTGACAAAGGATGAAGAACTTTTAGAATCTTTGCAGGATCATGTACATTATTTTTCTCTGGTCTTTTTCAGAATCCTCATAAAACAACCTGATTCGACATGATATAAGATTCTGGCAAAAAAAAACTGATGTAATACTAATGTTTTAATCAGGAAACAGCAAAATAACTCAAGTCCTAGTTATGTGATTGTGTGTGATGCATAAAACTGATATAATGTTACATGTAGTCCCATAAAGAGCTAACCATAACGCATTTATAAAATTTTGACAATATCTTAGTTGGTAGAGTATTTTGCATTATCTAGTTCTCAATCACTGGACAGTACATACATTAAGATCAGACTAAATGCACAACAGGTAATGTACAGTGAATCTGTAATAATTCCTTTTTGCTCATTATCTGGACTTTCAATGAAAGAATTGTAAATGTTACCACCAAAAATTATAGCTTATATCGGCAAGTATGACAACACCATAAGGTGATGTTACGGTTACAAAACAGGTACTGAGATAGACATGGGAACTGAAACATCATTGGCGAAGCTTGAATCCCTGTTAGTGGTGGAGTTGCCTTCGAATGCAGATCTAACAGGACTAACACCCAATCCACCAAAATGCGAGGCTGCATTCTCACTCCTCTGAAACACTCTAGCAAGCGATGCTGCTTTTCTTCTTGCCCTCTTTGTACCTGTAAACAGTAGAGTCTGAAGCAAACCAGCTAATGCTGGGGCTTTAAGGACTCTTTCTGTTGTGGCAGCCCCACCACAACGGCACAACTCAAGCAATGCAGCAACTGCATTCTCCTTCCCTCTTGGTGTTCCACATCGCATCATCCTTATTAATCCAGCTATTGCCATTTCCTCTTGCCCAACAGCTTCGGCCCCTACTGGCTGCCTAACAATCAAGGCCAAGGCACCTGCTGCTTCCTCTGCAACTCCTTCATTTCCCAATGCGCATACCAGGGCTGTAACAGCACCAGCCTCTATCATTCTCACACAATTTTCTGTGTGGGTTGACAGGTTAAATAAGGCAGTCACAGCATCTTTCTTCCCTCTTGTGGTCCCAACTCTCAACAATCCAGCTAGGGCTTCAACTGCCTTACCTTCATCTGCAATCCTCTTCTTATAGTCATGTACTGCAGAAAGACTGAATAATGTAGCCGCAGCATTTTCCCTTGCCTCTGTTGTAAGGCCAAACCTCAGGACTTCCACAATTGCTCTTAAACAACCTTCCTCCTCCATGATCCGACTTTTATTTTTCTCATAAATAGATAAATTAAGCATTGCAGTAACAGAATTTTCTAGAGCAACAGGGTTTGTAGAGGACAACAACTTTCGGAGATGTGGTATTGCCCCAGATTCTGCAATGAAAGCTCGGTTTTCTTTTCCTGTTTTTGCCAACAAGCGAATCTCACGTGCTGCTATAGTCTTTGCACCTTGAGACCCAGTTGCTAGCTGTTGAATAAGAAGTTCTGCCGTGGCTTTATTGGCTTGAATTGCAGCTTTGCTAGGCACAGATGCAAAAGACTCCGCAGATGCTTCTGTGGTTTCTGGTGGATCATATGGGATTCTATTTGCAATGCACCACTGCATGATCAAGTTCCTCAAGGCACGATTAGTAACAAGGCGAGTATGCTCAAGCATTTGCCCCGTCTTTGGACAAGTACGGTGCCCTTCCTCCATCCACCTAGTTATGAAACTCCGATCATAAGTCTGCCCTGTTGATATTATCACCGGATCTGTCATCAAATCCAATGATATTGGACAAATAAAATCCTTAGGAACTGTTAGAAACGTATCTGCAATCTCCTGAGTTATCAACCCTTTTCTCAGCTTCTTCTGATTTCCAGAACCAAGCTCTATCTCATCCTCCTCAAAGCCAAATAGCAGAAACCTACAATACCTGGTAATTGCAACAAACCCATTAAGCACAGAAGCTGTAGGCTCAACATCACCCTCATGATTGACTATCTGCTCCTCCAGAAACACAATTTCACCCCTACAACTTTTGGCATCAGTTATTCCCAATCTCTCCACAAAGAACACTCTCAACTCCACAGGATTGGGTATCCTCCCATTCTCAAACTCATCAAGAAAGGAAAAGAATCTAAGCCTTAAATTTTCATCATTTCCATCAATATACAATTTTGCACTCCTAGATTGTTTCTGCAACAGCTCAACCTGCTCCCTAACATCATCACTCAATTCAACATCTTTCATGGGGAATACATCCAGAAGTGTAGATATCTCCTGGTTCAAATCATGAAAATGACCTGAAATCGAATGGTTCTGGAGCAGAAGCCACAACTTACTCGATTCAGCGCAATAATCAAGAAGTATCTTGGACCTGTAGAGCAGCAAATACAGCTCCTTGAAGCACAATGTTACCGTCGAAGGCAGGGTCGAACCTGACTCCTTCAAGTACTCCAACAGCACTACGAAGACCTCAATCTTCCGAATCAAAGACCGAGAATTCCTCCGCTGGAAGAAGAAACATTTTTCGGAAAAGCAACAAACAAGCGTCGCCGCAATCGACGCCAGCATCTGTACAAGTGCCACATCGCTCAAGTCAACGGGCGCCAAGAAGGCCTCCAGAGACGGCGACCTTCTTCTCCTCAGAGAAGAGAATATCGCCGCTGTTGCCATAACAACTCCAACCCAATTCCAAATTTCCAAATTCCAATCAAGGGTTTATCCCAGAAATCGAAATCCTGCGAGAAATTCAACAACTTTAAACTAGATCTGGAACAAGAGACACGAAAAGAAATGATGGGTGTTTGCCGTTCCCGTTCTTGGGTTGAATCTTAAATGGTGGGTATGAGTGGCACAAGAGATTTCCAAGATGAGTCCACGAAAAAAGGGTCTCTTTTTTAAAGGAGAAAATGGGATTCCTTCAAAGGCCAGTTCTATTTGTGAATCCGCGTTTGGGAAGAAAGAAAAGGGTCGAGAATTCTCCAAAAAGACTTTATTGTTTAACCTTTCTTCTTTCTTGGCTAGGCTAGGCAAGGCAAGGCAAGGCAAGGCAAGGCAAGGCTTGTGTTTTTCTTTCTCTCTCTAAGAATTTCAATGCAGTTGCTGTGATAATGACCTGTTTGGGTTTGACGGATGACAATTATCCAGATTTCTGTCCACTCATTTCTTTGCTTTTCTTCTCCACCTCCATGCCCTACAAGGAAGAGAAGATGAAAACTGGTTTTATAAATGCAAAATTTGACAAAAGGGACCTGCTTTTTGATTAATTTACAGATTTTGGACTTTTAGATTTGTAGCTCCTGATTCATGAGGTCAGATTGTCAGATAATTACTAGGATCATTGCTGGCTTTCCTTTGTTTAATTTTCTTGCAGTGAACATCGATTGTGTCTTTTCCCTACCTAAATTCATGCATCATGCCTCTTATGTTACAAGGAAAAATGAATTCAGTAATTACAATAACTTTTGTAGGAGGGTTATTTGAAGATTTTTTTTTTATAAGTGGCATAGAAATAATTTTTTTAT